CCGCCGAGCCTCATGTCATGTGCTGCTTCATTCCACACCACACGAACTCCAGAGTCGAGACCTCTAAAGGAAAAGCCTTGCCTGAAGAAGGCAGTCAGATCACCCAGCAGAGAGCAGGATCACCTACCCACGCCTCTCCTTGTGCCCATTCTATATTTCTGGGCAGCCTGGGGCTCGGAGGCCACTCTGCCATCATCTAGGCATGTGAGAGGGCAGGGAAGGTCTGGAGGGAGTGTGGTGGAAGGACACAGTGAGTTAGACCGACGACCTGGTATCTAGACCCAGCAACACTGGGATGGCGGGCATTTTGAAAGCCACCGTGAGTCACGGCAGAGCTGCCTGAGCCAGCAGAGGACATCCAGGGTTGCCCGGGGCACCTTCGCCTCGTCTCTCCAAAGACAGAGGACGTGGCTGCCTGTGTCTCACCCTGCTGTTCCGAGTCCTGCTGCACAAAGTGGAGGGCCGTGAGCTAAGGCAAGCACTGACCGTCAGGACGTTCTCAGGAAAATTGACTGGCCAACTTCCTGTCCATGTTAGAAGGATAGTCCATGAGGGGATAGTCTTGTGAGCACCCTCCTGCAGGCCCTCCATTTACATCGGAGACAGCAAGCAGGGACTAGCTCAGCCCTGATATCAGTGGCGCCAGACAATAACTCAGTCTTCAGAGGCCCTTTGGAACCCCAGCTCCCAGTGGGCTCTTTGCCTTGCCCGAGGCCCCTGTGCCTGGTCCTAGCTGTGGTTTAAGATTATGAGACCAGAGAAGTGACCCTGGACACCAAGCACAGGCAGGCTTCCCCTCAGATATAGAGAGCTCCATGCCTTGGAGACAAGTTTTCACGAATGTCTTGAGTACTAGCCTTCTCTCCTCATTGGCTGACCTGAGAGGCGGAGCCCAAGTGAGGATGAAGAAGGCTCAAGGGGATGCCCAATGGGGGGCATTATGGAAGGACAGCATGGACAGCTACCTGAGCTCTGTGAATGAGACCATGTTGGAGGGACACCCATGGGATCAGGCCCCTATGAAGAGCCAGTGATGCAGAGCAACCAGGGAAGGCTAAGACACAGGACAACCGAGGATCTGGGTCTGACCAGGCACTGATCTTGCTTGGATAAGTCTGGCTGGGAAGGATTAAGAACTGGGTTTTGTCCCAGATCTAGAACAGAAAGAGTAGCCTGGCCCACCATGGAGTTAGGTGAGATCATACAAGGTTCCATATATGTTTCAGCCATTCCATGTTGCGATAGTTCTCAAGGGCCCTCAGGTGACCTCTAGACTTACCAGGACCCTCCCCCAAGGAGGAGTTGTACAGTGTTAGGTCTAGTCCTAGGCTAGTCAGAAGACCCAGAACTGGGAGCAGACTAGCACCCTTCTGTCTCAGACAGACCCTGTCTCCAGCTACACTGGAGTCTCCTCCTCTCCAGATCAAGATGGCTCCTCCAGTCTAGAGCTTCCATCAGAGATCCCTCTCAGGAACCTCCCTGACCACCAAAGATGGCTATCCTGCTCAAGCTCCACCACAGGGCTCCTGGGTGCCGGCTCAGATAACAGAGGGACCAAATGATGGCCCAGGAACTTGGTCAGCCCCAGCCATGGCCTGAGGCAAGAATGCCCTTCACGAATCCCTCTCCTCATTAAGAGACTTTTGAGTCCGTAATGTAAAGTGTCAGTTCCGGGGTGCTACAGAAAGAAACCTGGGTCTCCACATAGCTGAGAGTGGCCTTGGCTGCCACCTGCATCAACAGACACACGGATCTCAGAAGAGTTCTGCCAGACCTTCCTAGAATGAATAGTCGCAGCTCCTGCCCCACAGAGCCGGACTGAGATCCTTACTCTACTAGGCCACAGAAGCTCTTTGCATGGTGTGCTACCACCAGATAGCAAGAGGAACTGGGCCCCAAGCTCAGGTCACCACAGTATGTCCCCGACACCTGAAGTCTCAGCCTGGCTACATATGGCCCAGCCTTGTGCTGTCTGGGGGATCAGGGCAGCTCTTCTGGGCCCTGCCTGGTATTCTGGCCAAATCCATACTGTTGTGGTATCTCCACCCCTTGACCCTCTTCTATGTCACAGGTCCTCTGTGGCCATGTCCTGGTCCTGGAACAGGCTCTGATCTCTAGCCAGGTCCTCTGACTGCAGGGTGGGGCAGGCCATGTCCCTCTCCTCTCAGCTTTGTACAATCACCCTCCCCTGGGCATTAGCCTCAGCCCCTCCCTACCCCCAGGGACAGCTGCAGGACAGCTCATGGACATCCTTTGAAGCTGGAGGAGGGAGGGGTGTCACACCCAAGGGTGTCAGAGTCTGGGCCAACCTTTCAAGTTTGCCGGCTTTTCCAGTGAATGAGCTTATCACGCTGCTTAGACGGGTCAGGTGGAGGCTCGCTCATGGCCCCCTACTGCACCCCTCACGCACCCACCACTCACCGAGCCTCAACCAGGACACTGAATCTCCTCCTACATGACTTCCCATCAGAAGCCTGGCCTGCGCCTTGGGTCACTCCAAGGACAGCAGTATCTCCTCCTGACCTCTGAGCAGGGAAAGCTAGGGACGTGTACTTGTCCTTGTGAGGGGTTGCAGCAGGCAGGGAGAGCTCGTTTAGGTTCCTCCTTTCTTCTTGGACCCACAGCCCTCACCCCACAATTCCGCCCTCAGCTGTCAGCAAGCCACCACTCAGCACAAGTCCTTCCCTGTAGGCCTGGGCACGAGAAAGAGAGTATGGATGACACAGGCATGCGAAGAGGGTGGACAGACAGGTGCCTCCTAGCAGCAAGGTCAAGGTCCAAAGCACCATCTTTTGGGCACTGTCAGGTTGTCCTCAGAGGCACTGTCCTAGTCTTCCCAAGATCAAAGCACACAGGCCATTTATTCCTACCCACGAGACACAGCAGCTCCCTGGACACGGGGGGGGGGGGGGGAGAAGATAGTGATTTCAGCATTGAAAATGTGCTAAAGCCTCTGGGGCATGGGGGGTGACCAGCATGTACCCCTACAGGGACGAGCCAACTGCATCCACATGAGGGCTTGCCAGAGCTGAGCTGGAGATGGGACAGAACCTGAAAGGCCTTGAGGCTGGGGACATGGGCTCACAGCTACTGCATATGCGCTAGTACAGCCACAGAGCTCTAGAGTCATTATTCAGGGGTATCCAGGAACCCTTTTCCCAGCCCATCACTCACCACCTGCTCTGCCCAGGAATATCTTGCTTCTGAAGCAGCAGATGAAAGGCAGGGAGGAAGTGAGGGGCTGCTCTCACTCCTCATTGATTGGTTCCTGACCTTAGCCCAAAGATTTGGGTCTTTTCTCCCTCAGAGTGCCTCCTCTCTGTCTGCTCCCTGGAACAGTCTATTTGTATGGTACAGATAACCTACCGCCGAAGCTCTTCCCTCTTTGCAACCCCCATATGTCAAGCAAACTTGACCTGATGCTGAGCCATCCTGTGTGGGGGCATCTATGACTAGCTGTGGGCCCAAAGCCCCACGGTGCCTTGAACATGCATCTGGGCATCCCTGGCATCCAGCAGCCAGAGATAGCCCTGTCAGTAACAGCCAGGACCACCCAGTGTGGCCGCCCCAGGAGATCAAAGGCTAGGAGCTGTCCTCTATGATGGAGTCCAGGGTAAGTAACCCCTCTCCCAGGGGCCCACATGGAGACGCACACTGGAGAAACACTAAGAAAGGCAACGTCTCAAGAAGCTCTTAGAACCACGGCAGGACCCTTGGTGGATTATCCCTGTGGGATCTCTGTGTATGCATGCATGTGATGCTGGAGGCTGAACTGACTTCCCACATATTAGACAGACACTCTACTACTGAGACCTGTGCCCAGCCCTCTGTGCCTAGCGAGCTCTGAACTTGCTTAGACAGATACCCCAGCCTCCAAAAACGCTAGGTGAATCAACGCCTGTTTCCCTGATTGAAAAGAATTGCCATATCACATACGAGTTCCCGGGAGTGCGCTCAGCGGGGAGCCCTGAGGACAGAGGTTACTGTGATCTAGTGCTGGCCCTACCCCAACTCTAAGCAGCTTCCCTGCTAAGGCCACATAAAATAGAACAACAAAAAGTAGGTTCCTAGCTAATAGCAGGCCATGCACAGAACAGAGGGATAGTACTCGGCCAGCTATGTAGTTACAGGCCCTAGAATGATGCCCAAACGCCTCATACTACCAGCCAGCAGCAGCCACTCCTGTACACCATGAAGCTCAGAAACCCGAGGCCCCACAAAAGACAAAGCCTGCGAAACCCCAGACCTGAGGACTAGGAAAGGGAAGGTAGGCGCTTCCCTTGAGGAAAGACACAAAGGCACAGTATCAGCACGTGTGTGTGCTCACTGGCACATACACACACAGACCAACCCCAGGTACAAACACCAGAATGAAGAAAAGGAGGCAAATTTTTGTTTAACAAAATAAATTAAATATACGAGGCTTCAGCTCAAACTCTATATAAAATTACAGAGGCCAGGCAGCCACGGACAGTGAGGATACCCAATGTAACCACAAGACCAGGCAGCTCCCATGCCCAGGGCAGGCCACAGTTCCCGTGTTCCAACCCTCCTTACATCATTATTAATATTATTTCATTTCTTAAATATAAATATGGAGGCCCTTCTCTTTAGCAGGGGGAGGGTGGCTCAAACCTCCAGGCATGCTGCACTGCTCACCCCAGCCAGATTGCTGGTTGGCTCCTGGGCACACCATGGCATACGTAGACAAAAGTAGCCACCAAGGCCAGGCAGGAAGAGACACAGGTCCGCAGGGGTGGGGGAGAGGCCGTGACCTCTAAGACTTGAGGGAGATCCCTTCAACTAGCCATTGCCACATGTCACTGCAAAGCCACACCACAAATCCTCCTGAGGCTTCTCAAGTTTTCCGCGCACCTGTGTGCACATTCGCACTTTTAAATGTGTGTGTGCGGGGGTCTGGCTGTCTCTTTATCTGGCAGTAGATACATCTATATGGCCAAATTCATGAGTGCCTGCTACAGGCCCTCCTAAGACACTCTTCCTCCATTATTCTCAATCCTCCCAACCTGCTGCCTTGGGCCCCATATGCCTACCTCAGGGCACAGCGCTTGGAGATTGGCTGCATTTAGCACTGAGAGTGGGCATGCTGGCGCGGATGACCCTTGCCCTCCACATGAGAGTGTGTGTGTGCATGTGTGAGTATGCGTGTGTGTATGCACATCTGTGTACAGCTTGGGGTACAGCTTGGGGCCAGCGGTTGAGCCAGAAGCCAGGATGTGCTGGGGGGCCATGGTGGACCCATGCTCCTCACACAGGCCCACAGCCAGCGAGGGCAGGTCCTTGTCGCCACCGCGGTCTCGGGACGTCCCTGGGGGACGCTGTCCAGGCACAGGCAGTGTAGATACAGGGGCGCACGGCTTCTTCTTGGCCTGACAAAGCCAGAGCAGCACGGTGCCCAGGATGAAGACAGCGCCAGCTGGGATGCCGATCACCACAGGCCACGGCAGGCTTGTGGTTGAGGATGAAGGAGCCACAGGAGGCCCTGGAGGTTTGGGGTCTGCAAGAGAGATCAGGGAGAGCAGTAGAGAAGAGATCCCTACACTAACGAGACAACCAACCCAAGCGTGAACTACATGGATAGTAACCCTGGACTCCCTCTGAGGCAAGGAGGACTCACAGGAAGGGGAAAGAACAGGGAGCCCACACCTGCCAGGTAGACACTGGGGATCCCCCAGGACAGGACAGACCAATGGAAGGGACTGAGTGTAAACATGAGCAGCCCACACATACCTGGCAATACAGTGAGGAAGGCACTACGGAAACTGTAGCCCATGGTGTTGGCACCCAGGCAGATGTACATGCCAGCATCGTCCTGGCGGGCCCGGGAGATGAGCAGCTTGTTGAGGTAGGAGCCGTCAGGCCGTGACCACACGTCACCGGTGGGCAACACCACAAACTTTTGGCCACCCACGTCAATGGTGGAGTTGTGGCGGCCTTCAGAGCCGTACTCCACCCGCTTGAGCCACTGGATCACAGGCTTCACGTCGCTGCGCACCCTGCACTGGAACGATGTGGTCCCCCCGAAGTCCACTGTTGTGTTCACAGGGTGTGTCCCCGTGAGCACGGGCTTGGAGCGAGTGCGCTCTGTGCCAGGGACAAAAAGACATGTCAGCACAGTGCTAGGCACCGCGGGCCCCTGTCCTACCCAAGACCCGCCACTCACGGATTACATCCACTTTGTAAGTGGCGTTGATGGCGCCTGCCCGGTTGGACACACGGCACGTGTACTTGCCGCTGTCTTCGGGCTTCAGGTTTTTCAAGCTCAGCGTCCACTTCTTCTTCCTGTGCTCGCTGGCCTCTGGACGTGTCAGGGTCTGGTCATCCTTCATCCACATAATATCTGGCCGTGGGTGCCCACTGGCCACACATTTGAGCCGCACAGAGCTGCCCACGGGCCGAGCGATCACTCGGCGCCTCATCTTGGAGGGCTGCGTGAAGCGAGGCCGTGCTGTGGGGCGGGGCAGCATCAAGGTCAGCGGGAAAGGGTATGATGCCAGAAGGATGGCACCGCCTTACTCCAACAGTCTCCCGACCCCACGCTTACCCCACTGCTGGCTGGCTGCGTCCTCCCGGCCCCCAGAAGAGCCACCTGGCCCGGGGCTCTCCTTCCCCGGGCTGACATCATCTGTAGAGAAACAGGTCATAAGGAGGCCAGGTGAGAGGTCCAGGGCAGCCCCTCATCAATACCCAGCATGCCCTGGCTGGGACAGCCCCAGAACCCAAGAAGAGGCCATGGACACTCCCACATGTCAGGATTCTGGGACAGCTGGGCAAGGGCTGCCTGCCAGCCCCCTCCCTGGGTGCAGGTGACCCTGATAGGCATGGTAGGACTGGAGAATTGGCCCCCACCCTGGCTCCGGGGGGTCTCAGGGCCCAGGAGGAGGGGGCCAGGCCCAGCCAGCAGCTGCAGTAACCCTAGCCCACATCAAGGGGCCGAGTGCTTGGTGCAGAGACATGGCTTACATACCGCCTGGTCATCGTCCTCTTTGAAAGGATGGGGGTGGGGAGGGTGGACAGCCGTAATATTCCCATTCCAAGCCCAGAGAGAAGGCCTTGAGGCCTGTACTGGGCAGTGATGGGGGGAAGGGCAGGGCGTGATAAGGAATGTCCGCCTTGCTGCCCTAGGACAGCGGCCTCTTCCACCAGCCTGGGACCAAGGGCCAGGCTGTTCCAGGCCACTACCCTAGCCCTCCACTGCAGAGAGCATGAGCTAGGCCCAGAGCCCCACACCAGGGCACCCAGCAGAGATGGTGGGCCATGCCAGCTACCAATGTGTGTGTGTGTGGGGGGGGGGTCACCAAAGACACCTGCCCATTCCCTATCGACTGGGCCCCAGGGACAGAAGAGAACAGAGGCCATTCACTTCTTGCGGCCTCTCTGAACTCTGAAACCTGAGCCTCAAAGTCATGGCTGCCAAAGCTCTCACTGCCAAGTCCTTAGCCCACTCCACCCGACCCCACCCAGCAGCTCTTCGGTGGAACCTCTGCCTGAGCACTGCCCCATCCATTCCGCCACCTGGGAGCAAAGGCCCAAGCCTGAGCTGGTCGCCCTAGGGCCCAAGCTGGGAATGGGAAAACCTCCTGGATCCTGTCTATGTCCAGGTAGATTTGGTGTAGGCTGAACAAACAGGGTAGGAGAATGCAGTGTCTGCCGCACACTTGGTGCCCAGATGATTTTGGCCCCACCATAATCTCTGACTCGAGCAACCAACTGACCCATAATGATGAGAGTGTAGTTAACGCTGAGACTGCCAAAGCCGTTGGTGGCCTTGCACACGTAGACGCCCGCATCCTCGGCCTCCACCTCCTTCACCTTCAGCCCCTGGGGCAGCACACGGAAGCGGCTCCAGCCACTGTGGATTGTGCGGCCATCTTTGGTCCACATGGTCAATGGTGGTGGGTCCCCCTCCACCGGGCACTGCAGCCTCACAGTGCGACCCAGGCGGGCCACCTGCCGTGGGACCACCTTGTCTGCCATTCTTGGGGGTCCTGCAGGGGTTAGAGGGCTTGGTTGGGGGAAACACATTAGGAGAGCAAAGGCTTGACACAGGGGCCGGGAACCCACCCAGGCCCCATTAAGGAAGTCTGCCTGTTACGGCAGAGGAGGCCCCAAAACACGAACCCTGCTTCCCAAGCACAGCGGCCTATGTCCACACATCCCCCCATGTCAGTCTCAAGCACCTTGCTGGTGCATCACCACAGCAGGCCGCCTCCCCAAGGAGCCCAGAGGGTCGGGACACAACTCAATAATACTTTTACATTTTTTTAAAATTCAAACCGAGAAAACAGGGTCATCCCTTTGTCTCACCATAGAGAACTACATGTTCCCTGGTCAGAAAAAAAAAGAAAAGAGGAGCCCCCAGAACAGGACAGTAGGATGGGCTTCTGGCTGGCCTCTTTCCACACACAGAGCTTCACAGGATATCTTATATTCTAGCTGCACACTGTGCTGCCTCTGGCACCTGACCCTTCCTCATCCCAGGTCACTCAGGGAAGGGACAGCCACCTTACACCTGTCTCAGAGGGAAATGGGTCAACAGGAGGGACCACCAGGATGAACGGCCAGGAGTGAGCCTGCCAGCGCTCACCGCCATACATGCCCATCACTGAGAGGGCCCTTGCAGGCCCAGATGTGTGTGCACCCGCATAGGAGCTGGTTGTTCTGTCTGTGTGCTCTGTGTCTGAACTCATGGACACAGTTTGCTCTGGGCTGTCAGCCAGCCCCAGTGGCCACAGCTGCCAAGTGGCTAGACCTCACAGGGTCACAATCCCAAGACCATGGGGTCAGAGGACAGTATCCAGAGGGCTGGGACTTAAAGGGCTGCCTGGGATACACAGGATGAGCAAGGGCTGGGCACAGGCTCTCAGTGCCTTACCTAGATTCCACTCAGGGAATTCTTCATAAGGAAGAATGTGCTGGGTCCTGTCCTGTGCGGGACAGTCCCTAGGTCAGACCTAGGAGGTGGTCTAGCCCCCAAAAAAGATGTTCACAGGTGGGGCCCCAGGCAGAGGCTCAAGCAACACAAGTCAAGACCACCATCTCGGGAAAGGCCAATTCCCGGAACTCCCAACTCTAGCTATCAGCACACACTCCCAACATCGCCAATGCACACCAAGCACCCTTCTCCACAGCCCTAACCATCAAGGCATCTCTGGACCGGAGGGCAGGGACGGAAGCCAGGCGGGACAGAGAGCACAGGGAGCATCGTCTGCAGGAGTCGGAAAGCTGCAGGGCTGCAAGAGAGGCGCTCTCGTGAGGGTGCGAGAGGGCGGGGACTGCAGCAGTGGATGAGGTCATGAGGTCACCCACACGGCACATTTCTAATGTTAGTGAGGGGTGTCTGCACAGCGCATCCAGTAAGTCGGGCCAGGATGGTCCCGGGCAAAGCATGCAGGAGCCAACAGGCCTTCTTGCAAGCTCAGTGGTGATGCTGCACAGGGCCCGGGGGAGCATGTGCTTTTATGATCAGCTGACACGGCCTCAGCACGTGTTACCGCCTTCACCCTAGGAGTGCTTGTATGGATGTCTTTGGACTTCCAGAGGTTGCTTCCCAACATCCTATGGGCCTACTCTTAAGTACTAAGGTGGGCTCTAAGGAGGCAAAAGACTAGTCAGCCATAGGGGAGGGGGCCATGTCTGCCAGTGAAAACCCAAGGACATCATTCCCGCTCAATGGGGAAGGAAGCCACAGAGGAAGGGGCCCTCCTGCACCTCTTCTTTCACTTGTATGGCCCAAACCTTTGCCCATTCTTCTGAGAACCTCTTCTCCAAGTCACATCTCGGCTTCCACTCAGTTCCCTTCACCCCTGACCTGGGCCTGAAGCTGCTACCAACTGAGGTCTCATCACCAGTCCTCTTCCTCACTTTTCCTTCATGGCTTCCTCTGGAAAGGGAAAGCGCAGAGGTAGGAAGAGGGCTGTCAGCCCACCTCTCTCCTAACCTGTTCTATTCATTAACCACCTAAGGCAGCAGGCCAATTCAAGCATAGTTGTCCCAAGGTTCTCCTGCATCCAGCTTTCGGTGCGAAAGGCTGCTGGGCACTCGGCACATGGCTCCTGAGATTCCCTTCCCTACACCTTCCCAAGCCTCAACTCCGTTCCTGAGCAAACTCTGTCTACCAACTGTCACTGTCCGAAATCCCGCCACTCAGAGTGCCACCCAGGCCTCAGTGATGAACTGGCCAAATCCCTGCCAGCCCCGTGGCCCCAGCCAATCTGGTATATACACAGACAGACTCATATATGCAAGCATACACACACACATGCAGTTGCCTGGAGATGTTCTGGGGCATACCCAAGAAGTGCCCAAAGCCAGACGAATCTACCGCCCTACATCACATGGGAGATCCTGAGGGAAACCTAGCCTCACTATGCCTTCAGGAAGCAGCATCCCTCCTGGCATCAGACAGAGGAAGAGGAGTCTAGAGGAGGGGTACCAAGAGACAGGAGGCCTGTCATGACCAGTGCTGAGGGACAGGGCTAAGTGACTGCCAGATGGCCGGAAGCTTGGTCCTTGGGGCCTGCCTGCACATACAGGCTGGCGACAGGCTGGCCAGAGGAGCCAGCCTTATCCTAAAGCAAACAGTATCCTGCCAGCCCCTGCCCCCGACTGAGTTCCAATATACCCCACTGTGGGATTGGGCCCCAGGCTTGTTACAGAGCCCCACATAAGGACATCCCCGCCCCCATGCACAAAAAGCCCAACCCCTAGAATTGTGGGAATTTGGGCTATAATATGGCCACCTTGGATCTATATTTAACTCTGGAAACACAGCCCCCTTTGTTCTACCTGGACAGCCATCTACTCTGCTCAAGCAGTGAGGAAACTAAGGACTTGCAGCTCAAGGGCAATGGGACATAACTGCCCCACACTCGGCCTTGGGAGAGCTGCAGGAGGGTTCTCTGCAGAAGCTGGGGCCTAAGGGCCATACCTGAACTTCCAACAGGGCTTATCTGACCTGCCCACCCAGGCAGGCTCCTTTAGGAATCCCAGGGCTGAGAGAGCTCACCACAGGCTGGATCCAGAGGGTCGGAGGCAGGGGGACACAGGCCTATTCAAGATGGGTGTGTTCTTGCTCCACTGATAGGTAACGTGGAGACCAACACTTCGTGGTAGGACCTGAAGGCCCCAGGCCAAGGAGAGAGCTGTATCAGCTTCTGGCCTCTCCGTAACTTCTATAGCTATTTCAGCTGTGTCCATTCCTCCGGAAAACCCACCCAGGTATTTCTAGACTAGACTAGACTAGACTTTAGTGCAGGCGGGGACAGCGTGGGGACCTTCTGCAGGAGGCACAGTCTGGGTCGAAGTTCTTAACCTGAAGGATGTGGTCAGTGTCAGGTCTAGATGCCAGCTGGGGTTCCAAGCCTGTTGACCTGAACTCCCCTCCTTAAAGGGCAGGTCTAGGCACCCCAAAGAGATTTCACACTGGTGAGTAGAGCTAGCTTGCCTGCGGCCCAGCAGCAGCAATTTGGGAAGAGGGTTCTCTGGAGGCACTGTCTGTTCCCCTAGGTCTGTTCCTCTCTCTGGAATACCGCAGCTGCCACATCTGTACGCCGCTAGCTCATAGACACTCTCTGACTCACTAAGACTACATATAGTAGCAGGGGTATCATCAGAGAAGGCCACAGTCCTTTAGGAGACACATACACCCATCCATAGAAGGACCCACTGAGGAGGCCTCACCTGGATAGCCAACCCCTGACCCTCTTCTCACAAACACTAGCTTGTCGGGCCATGGCTAGCTTCAAGTCAGGGCAACAGCAGGTCTCTGACCCTAAACAAGGCCAAACTCTGATCCTGGAAGCCCCTGATACCTCGAAAACTATCAAAATAAGGCTATTTCCTGAACCCAAAGCTCCTGAAGCAGAAGTCAGGTTTAAGGCAGCATGCCACCTAGCCCTACAAAAACTGGGCTGTTCAGATTGCCCAAACCAAACAGTCCAGGCAAACCCATCCAGCAGCCCACACCACTGCCAACACAGAGATTTCTTAGGGATGGAGCTGCGAATATTGGGGGGCCTAGAGCCTCAGCCCAGGTCACACTGCCACCACCAGCAGCTGGAAAGTAGGAGGCAGGGAGTACAGGGACAGCTCAGGAGAAGGCTCCGGGGTGCTGTCCCGAGTTCCCTGAGGGCACCCCGGACTGTCATCAAGGGCTGGAACCTTCTCCTGCAGCTCAGCCCCACACCTGAGTCAGAGCAGCACATGGCTCCCTTCCCACCCGCTGCTGCAGGCAGCACCGCTGGCTCTGCAGGCCCTTGGCAGCTCCAACAAATCTCTCAGGAAATAAACTCCTGGTGGAAAGAGGGGCTGTGCTTCCTGCTCAGGGGGAAGCTCTTGCTTTTAACAACTGCCCAGTAGAATGCACCTTCTATCCACCTTCCTCCTCTTCTAAACCTACCCAGCCTACATCCATGTGCCTACTCTGTCCGCCCCCCAGCCTGACGCTCCTACTTCCCCCGACCCCATTCTCAGGAACGCTCTGCTCTCCTCCACCTTGAGGTGTGGGCAGGAGTACTGGTCAGAAGAGCAGGTGGCAGGCAGAGGAGGGTAACTATAAAGTATGGAAACAGGGACTTAAACACACTCCCTACGCATTCTAAAGTCACCATATTAAAGCAAAACGAGGGAGAAGAGGCCACCATGGGCCAAGCATCAGGCCCTGGCTATAGAGAGGGCAGGTGGCCAGTAGGGGGAATGAGGCTTTGGGCCACAGCCAACTGCCCCCAGCACTACCACCAAAGACTGAGCCAAGGCCAGGGAAGCCAGAGACTAGAGGCCTCAGCTGGGGAAAAACCAACATTTCCCTAGTAAGGGCTACAGCACAGGGCAGGCCGACTGAAAGGCAACTCTGAGAGCCCGGAGGCCCATTGATCCTGCACAAAGGATAAAGGAGCCTGTGGTCGGCATTTCCAGGCCTAGCCAAAGGCGACTTTGTTCACAACTCCCTCCCCACCCCCATGGGGACAGTGATTTATTTTCCCTTCCAGGAATAGGGCCCCAGATGTGAATGGAAGGCTGGCCCATGTCCCTACCTCACAGGGGCTAGCTAGGCCTGGCTCCTGAGCATCTACCTCACTCCAGCCACACTCTGATCAGCCACAGCCTGTGAAGAAAAGAGGCCTCCCACAGCCTGGTTAAAAGCCAGGTCAGCTCCACGCAAACAGCCAGCCACCATCTCCACAGCATCATACAGCCTTCTCCACAACACAGTGCTCTGGGCAAATCAGGGCCAGGTCTCTCCAAACCTAACAGCTGGCTCCAAAAGATGGAAGAGAAGCCTATGTGAGCTGCTCAGAGACTGATCCTGGAGTCAACTTTATAAAAGCTCAGAGGTACGGCGGGTGCCATGGCGCACGCCTGTAATCCCAGTACTCAGGAGGCAGAGGCAGGAGGATCCCTGTGAGTTTGAGGCCAGCGTAGTCTAACAAAGCGAGTCTAGGATGGCCAAGGCTGCACAGAGAAACCCTGTCTCGAAAAACCAAAATGAAATAAAATTAAATTAAAAATTTAAAAAAAAAGTTAAAATAAAAGCTCAGAGGTGGCACTTCTCAGAAAGCCTTATACTCTTAGACTTATCTTGAAGAACGGTACTCTGTTTTTAAACTTACATTCTCGCTGTGAGAAACAGAACAGAGCAAAACAAAACTTATCTTTTTTTCAAATGGGGGGTGATCTTAAAGCAAATTCACCAACATTGTGAAACTTTGGGCAAAGGGGAACTTTAAAAAATGATCCGAATCTAGTGATGTACAGATTCCAAAATCTGTGACACCCCAGGGAAATAGCTTTCAAAACAGCCAAAACTCTACATGCAGTTCTCTGGCCCAGCTTAAGGTCAAAATTGGACCTACTCACGAAGAACCACTGAAGAAGGAATGCATTTGGAATAACTCTGCCCCTCCAGTCCAGATTGTGCCTGAAGGGAGAAGTCAGCACAATTCAGGAAACGCCATTCTTCCGCCCCAACCACAGGGCCCTTGCCCTTGGAAGGCAGCTCCTTCCAGCTCCCTAGCGCTGGCCAGGGGCCTTTACCAACACAGCCGGGGCCCAGACAGGAGATGCAATCCCAAGGCTGTGGCCAAAGGAGACAACGGCAGAAGCATGGCCCCCGTAGGGCCGCCAGCAAAAAGGTAGGGTGCTGCTGCCCACTGCCACCCATCAGTCAACCTGAAGGTCCAGCCAGTGATCAGGGCAGGGCAGAGGCCTTTGGAACCCCCCTGGCTGAGCAGCCAAAGAAGAGGCAGGTGCAGGGATGGGGGGGGGTATCCAAGCAAATAAAAGAACAATTAAAGACTGGTCACCAGTTGGGGGATAAAGAGACAACTCACCCAGCATGGCCCGAGTGCCTACATGCCCAGGACACTGTCCAGCCCAGCTGTGCCTTGACAGCCCTCACCCTCCAGCCAGCCAGTTCCCAAGCGGGGGGCGGGGGGGTCATAGTGGCATAAGGCCCACCTGGGCCGCCGCCCGCCACCCAACACCAAACGTGGCCATATAAGGCCAGGTTAGGCTCAGTGCGCCCGCGCTGGTGGCGGGGGGAGGAGATGCGAAGCCTCGGAGGACTGGTGGACAGAGCAAGGACAGTCCTGAGTGGCCAACACACTCAAAGGGCCCGCCTGGCCATGAGTCCTGCCTAACCATAGGGGACGCCAGCACTGTGCCCCGTGACACTGGAACACGGCAGGCAAAAATCCACAGGCATGTATCACTCGTCAGCTCTGGATGCCCTTTGCTAGGGCTGGGTCTAGGGCAGAGATCCCCACGGGACATCAAATGGGTGAGACTGTATCCAAGCCATACTGTGGCGTGTGCTGTGACAAACTGCTGTGTGGCCCCGTGGTCTAGAACCATCACGTGTCTTCCTCAGAGACCAAACCTCACTGTACAGTGATGCCTCATGCTCTGGGGACTCCCAGCCACTAAACTACGCTGCCTGTAAGACACAAGCAAGCCAACGGCCCAGGGCTGGGTCAGCTGAGGGATGGATCGGGGTGACCACAGATCACCAAGAAGTCACCAAGGTTCTCCATCTCCATTCACCTAGCCACTGCGCCAGTCTCTACAAGTTCCCAGGGACCCAATAAGGTTTTCTGTGGCCTCAGAGAGTCCACACTCCCCAAGAACCTGGGGGAGGGTCGACCACCCAGATATGCACTTGAAAGTGTGCGTATGCCAGATTGTGAGCGTGTCCTGGAGAGGACCTCGGCAAGGGCAAAGTCCGGGCCCTTTAGGTGAGGTGTCAAAGGAGGGGGAGCTGGGGTTACCAGGCTGCGACCCAGGTAACCTCCACGAGCGAGGTGAAGGCACGTGAAGCCAGCAGTAACTTGGGGTTAAGGATCAGGGGTGGCGGCCCGCTGCGATGAGGCAGACGGGGAGGGGAGGAGTGTGCCAGGCGTGCACTGTGGCAGGGGTCAGGGCTGGCGGGAAAGGGGCGGCGCTGCGGAGGCCAGAGCGCCGGACTGGGAGCCAGGACTCACCTCGCGCCGCCTCGGCCGACGGGAGGGCCCCCAGGAGCAACGGCGGCAGCAGCAGCAGCAGCGCGGGGCTCCGCGTCATCTCGCCAGTCGGACCTGGAGCAGGGGCGCGGTCACTGGGGGCTGGGCTGGGCTCGGGGCTCAGGCGCTCGGGTCGCGGCCGCAGAGCCGGGGTCCGGCCCCCCTCAGCGCCGAGCTCCAGGCAGAGGAAGCGAGGCGGGTAGACGCCGAGCGTATCAAAGGCAGACAAAGGGTTTACACTAATTACCAGCCGCCCCCGCCGCCCCCTCTCCAAACACCGTCTGGATTCCTGGCGCTCGCAACTCGGGCCCTGCCCGCGGGACACACAACACTGAGCGGCCCCGCAGATAATCGCCTGCGCCATTAGCGGACAAATTTGCGCTGGGGGGCCCACGTGGGGCGCCGGCGGGGGCGGGGCACGGGGCAGGGCCGCGGGCCCCACCGGAGCAGCCCCGGCGCAGCCCCGGCTCCCGCCCCGCACCGCGATCGCGGCCCTGCCCTTCGCGCCCAGCGCTCCAGCCCGCCCCAGCCGTCCCTCCGGGGGTCGCGGGCGTACACACCTCGACGGGGGTCGGCGCGGGGCTGAGCGGCAGGCGACGGAGTCAGAGCCGGGCCCGGGAGCAGCGCGCCGCGGTCATCGCTGCCCCGGGCGCCGCATCCCGCCCCCCGCGCCCCCGGG